GGCCAGAAACGTAGGGCGCAGCGAATTCACGAGCTTGAGCGAGACGAAAATCTCTCAGCCGCGCGCTTCTGCTCGTTGCGTCGATGCGATTGTGCCAGTCCCGAGATTATTTGTTGCGCCTCGAAACGACCGGCAGGGAAAATACGCCCGGAGCGGAAGAGGGAGATACCAGATTGTACGCAACGCGCGAAGTTAGAGAAGTGGATGAAGCCACGGAGAGTAACAGGAAAGAATTTCCCGAGAAGCACGCTGGATGCGCCGCGTTATTGTTGCACCGAGTCTTTTTAATCTCGGTAAGTCTTCTGTCGGAAATCCTTTCCAATTTTGAAGCCCGTGTGCATTAATCTATATAAAACGCCCCGGCCGGTTGCGAGTTTGTTACAATTTCTTTTTCTCGCGTGACGGACTTAAACTTTCAATAAAAATCCTCTTTGCGAAGTAAGACGCAACCGTGAAGTATCAAATATTATTCGATTTGAATCCGGCATTATTCATGGAAATGCTGCAAGTAAGATTCTGATAAAATTCGATCGCGGGCTTCGTCTATCCAATCCCGGCGCTAATTCAACTCCGTTCGATTAAACATGCAGCCACGTCGGGATTGCATTACCATTATTCCGGCCAAAGGATCCGGCGACCATAAATACCACCGTGACGCACGCGTACTTTCATCTCATTTAATTCTTCCAAATCATTAATATGCCGCGAAACGGGCATCATGCGCGCACAGGCGATGCGGCGCGGCGGCAGGATTAACGACGTAACCGGATTTCACGGTTTTAACGATCCCGTCGGCCTGCTGGAAAAACCGGGGCCCGATTGGTGCTCATTACGCAATAAAGTTGCAACGGCGCGCTCACAAAATGATCTATTCCCATGACTCGTCTTTCCCAACTCGGCTCCGTACATCCCAACTCGAGGGCCTTCGTAGATCATGTCGCGCGAAAATAAATGATTTCTCCGCTTTTAACGAGATCGTAAATTATACCGATGCTCTGAAAAGCTTGGTCGAGAAACCTTGGCAAACGAGAAAAAGAAGATGCCACTAAGGGGGAAAAACGTTACCGAATTTATTCTAGTGGAAGATAATGAAAGCATCGAACAGAAGAATTTAAAACAAGAGTCAATTGATAATTGCTCCTATTATTAGTAGATGAATCAAAAATTACCATTGAGAATTTTGAAATATGTCACGTCTCATTGCCATTCACTTCTGTTCTATTACATTCCTCTATTTACATCGAGCTCCGATATCATAGAACAAGTACATGGAATTTATCAGCGACACGCAATCTGTGGCACGTTTACGCTCGAAAGAGTTTATCATCGTTTCGCTATAAAACGCTTTCCAATGCAGAAACGCGTTTCACGAGTTACGAAATCAGCGTTGCGTCGCCGGTGCATTTTTATGTTCGTGCTTTTAAATTTGTCCTCAAGTGGAAATTCGAGAAAAGCAGTCAAGTGCAGGCGAGACGTGTCAGCCATGGTCCCTTTACTGTTCCTTTAAAAACTGTCTGCTGCATCGAACGTACCTCTGGTCAGAGGAATCGCGCCGTGGTTATTTAAAGTAGTTGCTAACTAAAAATTCCAGCTCACCGTACAGCTCGTTCGAACAAAATTAATATTCAACTCAACGAAATCCGTAATCTACGTAAATTATTTTTTATCCACAGTTCTTTTTAGTAACCACGCTTTCATGTACTACAACAAGGAAACTTATTGATAAAAGGAGCATGAAAGAAGAATAATTGATGCTAACTTGATTAATAATTCAAAGAAGGTATCATACATTAAATACTTTTAATGAACTTCGTATAACGTTATTACATCGTGCTTTGGAATATTAATATCAGAAACTTACAGCGGTCTAACTAAATTTTAGTCTTTTTTAAACTCCGTCCATAATTATATTATGCATGTTTGAAGTTCTGGAGCGCTTAATGAACGTCGCAAAGTTTCAAGTAAGAAAGTATATGATTTTAATTAGTTCGTGAAAAATTGTTTAACGGACATTAATATTCCGGAGGTCACTGAAAATCACATTGAAAAATGAGTACATGTAAATCGTTCTGATTAGAATCCATCGTTCGGAAAACCCGGACACGTAATCCCGCACCACTTCTATTCCCAGAATCAGAGGGTCGTTTCCTGGAAATCTGTCGCGGGTGCGGTCTGGCCTGACTGGGGCAGGTCAGTAACTAGGTCGACGTGCGAGGACAGCGAGAACGGCGTCGAAAAAATTGATATTAATTTATAGATTGCGTGTTCGTCTGAGGTGTACATATAACTTTTTCTAGATATTCCTTTACGATAAGTAATCTGATAGTTACGAACAATAATTCTAATGTGATAAAAATTGTAATTCCCTTCGTAATTCGAGAACTGGAATAAAATTGAAGATGAATGTTAAAAGCCTGCTTTTATTACCACGATAGTTTCTAAGCAATTTCCTCCCTTGTATTTGACTTCTGGTCAAGCACGGTCCAACCAATTTACATTTTGATTTAATTTATTCCATCGTGAACTCATACCCGTTCTTGTCCCTATGTGCACTTGTGTACGTACGTGTGCATCCACGGCACAGGTCAGCGGCGATGCTTTTTGCGGCGAAATTAAAAATGTTTGTGTCGTCGAAATTGAAAGCTTTGAGGAAATACACACGCGAAGCCTACGTGTATCGTGTTTGTGCCCAAGCGAAACAGACAATAAACCAATAAAATTCAATCTAGGTAAAGAATATTCGACCCAGTTCCCTACGTAAATAACATTTTTCAAATCACTAATCCACTTCGCGCATGTCCACATATATTTTGCCACTAGAACTAACAGATAAAAATAGTGCGTCATCCTTTCTTCATTACATTTCCCGACGGGACGTCTTAGTTGCTCTTGTAAAATGTTAGGAGGATGCACAATTGCACCGCATCAAACAAATGGCACACGGAGCCGTGTAAACGTACGCAAATGTGTAAATTTAATTTTCGCGAGAGTTATAAATGCCCGGCGCGCTAAATTAACCGTTATGATATCACGCCGCACGCGTCTAACGCAACTGCGCGAAATTCGTTGTTATAATTCCCGCTTAAGTGTAACACGACGCGTATTATATTCCGTAATTTAATTAATTTCTGCGGTGCAAACGACTAACATTATTACGGAAAAATAGTTATGATATTTGTTGCACGCGTGAACCTAATAACCCGGATTATCATTATTCATGCCGAGGAATAAACGTATTTGCATATCACTGCGGTCCCGGCGTGCTGATTAATTAAACGGCGTCTATTACATTTTTAAATGATCGAAGAGAATTGTTTTATTTTCAACGACGACTCGCTTCGTTTGTAGTTTTTACTCGATGGAAAGGTCTACCAATTTTCAACTAAATGGATCAAACAACGAGGATGCGGTATAGTTACACCTCAAGGAACTATTTTTATCATCCGTTCTCCACTTACTGTCGAAACGTGCTCTACGACTGCGTCGACGGCGACGTGATTTAAGGGCGTCAAGCTCAGGAGAGATACATAGAAGAGAACGATGAAAGAGACGAAACAGTTTCTGCCCTGGTTGCAGAAGAAAAAGCAATTCGAAAAGAGATCTTAAAAGCGTTTCGAAAACCAGGAGATTTTCACCGACGGGCAAGAGTTTCTTTGGACCGGGTCCAACTTCCGACGAAAAATTAATAATGAAATACTATTGGATATGGTCAGGAAACTTGTTCAACGGTTTAATAAATAATGTCCATTTTCAACTACGTAATTTCGCCCCACTCTTATTTTCCTCTCCCGTTGCACGGGCTACCATTTAGTATTTTCTCGCAGTAGGAAGGAAGCTTTTTATGAAAATACTACATATTTTATTGCAAGGGTTAACAAACAACTCGAAAATTAATGAAACGAAGATAACGTCTGATCCGTGCAGCTGCTATATGAACACTTCGAATCGTGGATTCAAACTTCGCGTCGGAATCTGAGCAGCGAACTGTGTATTTTCTCCGATTAATCTGATCCCTTCGTCACTATCAGTTACTATTGTTCGTTCGTGAACATTGCCTCGAATACTGACGCACACATATAACTCTGAATTTCACAGACTATCGGCATTTAATGGAAACTCGTAGCTCCTTCGCACAATAAGTATCGTATATCGTATTGTCTCTCGTTCTATTGTATTCTGTATTGTAAACCTGAATTTCGAATTACGAAATATTTTAATACAATTGGGAAGTGTATTAAAATATTTTAGAAAACGTGATCATAAAATTTTCAGATTAAATTGTGTGATTTCACTTCTTAGGGGTATTTTTTTAAGAGAACAGCCACCAACGTTTGTAGTTATTACTTGTAGGAAACGATTTAATAACTTCATCCGCGTTCTCTCTTCCATCTGGCTCAGCCGGGCTAGGAATGAGGTATTGTTTTTATCGACGTTCGGGAAAATATGTCAAACCGATATCCCGAACGACAGACAGAGCCCGGTGCTTTTAACTCCCGATTAATTTTTTAATTTATATCAAGACACCGGGGGCCGCGATCGATCTGACCTAGGTCGAAAGCTTTTATTTAGCCCGTTCGCGTATTCCGCATTTACGTCCACCGGCCCGTAAATTCTGTCGGCGATAATCAATGGAATTAACGATAAATAATTAAATAGTGAGATATTCGAAGCTCATTCAGTTTACACCGTGTTCCAGGATTCTGACAAATTACATACGACAGGATGAATCAATAAACACAAAATTATAAATTGTTCGATCTTACGTTAAAATTTTTTATCTAATAATGTTAGTTCAATTCGTTCACGTATAAAATAGATTGAAATCTATATTTCTTGTCATGAAATTAAATTCTGTTGTTTATTGACTCAGTTTGTAAAGAAAGAATGTTTGTTTCCTTTAAACATATTTTGGGAGAGGAGAAAAGTGTTGAGCATAGAAAAGCAAGGATATGGGTGAATCAATATCCAACAAATCGACAGACAAATATGTAGCTACTCACCTTACAGAAACTGGTGATAGGAGATATCTGAAACAGAAAGCAGAAGGGAACGATCAGTCATCCATACTGTGCCAAAACATCATTTTTCATAAAAGATATATAATAAACAGATGTTGATTCTTTTCATTATTATTATAATTAAGAATAGAGAATTATGTATCATCGAATATGTCAGACTTAATAAAATAATTCCATAACAATTTCTGTTTTACTTCAGTTATACATAATTCAAATTAAAATTAAACTAAAAATCAATTATGCTTGTCAAATTTTATACTGCGGAAATGACACTGATGTGAAAATATGCCACTGGCTCATGTCACGATTCATGCTTAGATCGATTGAAATTCAAAAGTCGTGCACGTACGGCTGCATCGAACAGAAAGCTTCTTGAGGAGTTGATCCCAAGGAGCTACTCGCAGCGGAAACTCCGAAAAAGTTTCGCCGTGATTATCATAAGAAGTTTTCGCGACGCCGACTCTCGCTTTAGCAAAAATGAACGGGACCAGGCGTTTTACGTATTCTTCGACGTTACGAGTGCCGAACTTCTGTGTATACCTGCGGAAGCAGAATTAGATACGGCGACGAGCCGCGTGCACAGTGTACGTCTCGTTAATGGCCCCACTCTTTTAAATTCTTCGTACCTCTTCCCGTTTCGAACTTTCTCATTGCAGACGAGATTTGGTGGACACAATTTTTAAATGATTTTCTTAGAACCACGATTAAAATCATTAATTGATCAAATGTGAGAGATTGTAGAATATCAATAGAGAGTAAAATATAAATATTGCTTGACCACGTACGTAATACAAATAAAATTGGAATCGGAAACAAGACAGAGAAATCAATTAAGATAGTCTTTAATGTCTCGGGTAATAAAATTAATACAAAACAGGAAGGAAATAAAAATCTGCGAATAAAAAGACAACCGATTCGGCCGTAATTACGATTGCCAGTGGGGAAGAATTTCCCGATGCCCACCGGATTCCACGTTTTAATGAAAGTCCTCACCCGACGGTGTAATGAACTTGACCGAACTTTATCACTCGAGTTCATCAGCGAATTTAATCGGGGACCAGCCGAGCGAATAACCGATCAGAGGCGAACAATGGATTTGCCAAGTTACTTCATCCTAGTATTAGCATGATGTTAGGATAAGTTAAACCCTATAGGTAAGTACTGTGTCTGTGAGTGGCAATTCAGGAAAGTTGTACGATGATCAAATTTTCATTTGAAAAGTTCTTCGTGATAACCGAGTAATTCGTTCGTACAAATTCGGTGAGATACTCCGTGGTACTTCGTCATTTGTTTGTAAGAGACAAGAATTACGTATACTCTGTTACGGTAATTAAGATAGAGCGGGTGAAATAGAAACATTTATATGGAACTTTTATACTGTACACAACTGCAACGAATTATGTCTATTAAACAAGATAAAAAAAGACTCGCACTTTGTACTTTTACGTTCCTTTACTTCAATCGCAGAAATTGACTAGAATATAAGGTGGATCATCCGCGGAACACACCTTGACCCAGTACCTACTCGTTAAATTGAAATTCAGCGAAAATCTTGTTTCGACTTAATGCTCCTTATTTGTCACGATTGCGAGAAAATGAATTGAAGCTGAAACGAGGACAATTCGTTTTACGAAGAAATGTCACCGTTGGAAGATTGGGTCAACGAGTGCCAATTTATTAAGATCAATACGTCGCAAATTGTACCATTCTTACATCTTAACTGCGGCGAACACGTTGAACCTTGGATATTTCCGAGTGCGATAAATTTTAACAACGAGCAAACGATTCTTCTAATTGATTATTCTAAATGATTTGAAAGCCGTGAACTGTTTCCGTCGACCAAGTCACGTTTCATTCAAATCCCTTTTCGCAAAAGTAACTGAAATTGTGCGAAATCCTTCGAGCGAAAAAATCCCTCGGAAATCCCAAAGTCGCGAGAGGTAAAGTCGTGGCACGGGGAAGACAGATCGTGCGAACCCTCGCGTGTTATTGGTCCGGCGTATGTTCCCTTGGCATGATCCACCCATTCGACTCCTTCTCCGCTCTCCACCGCTCTTCTTCCACCAGTTTCTTTGTACGCGAGAAGGGAAAGCGCGACGAGCGGAAGCAACGGCACGGAGCCACGGTGAACCAACCCTGTGACGCACATCTACCCGGGAAGCGACCGGAAAAAGGATATTTCGGGAGCGCGTACATACACACGTCTCCGTCGCCCGAGCTCGGCCAACTATGAATCAACGAGCACGAGCGGTCGGCTTTAACTTATGCACCGATATGGCGACACGACACTGCGAGTCGACTCGAGGATACCTCGGATTCCCTATCAAACTATGCCATCTTCGCCTGGTTTCCACTAAACTATCACGGAAAATATACTATCAGATACCTACACTAAAATCCTGAATATCAACTCCGAATTTGTCGAAAGCGAATCTTTAAAATCAAACGACAGTATAAAATTGGACGTTACAAAATTATAGTTAATTATATCCAAACAGGGTTTTAATTTTGTCGAAGGAATAAATGAAACGTAAGAAACAAAAACGCTACGTTTTACGTATGTAATTTGATTGCTATCAATTAAGGGGTCTCGCAAACATTTATTCTCCCCGCGTCTCTATTCATATGCACACACTATTCATCACTCCGTAAGCACGGCATACTAATCGCAACCAAGTCGCGGCAAAACATTTCCATCCGCTTTAATAGCAGATCTTGCTGCTAACAATTCATCAGCGCGCTGAACGAGCAAAAAATTACAAACGAGTCGAATTGAGTGCCTGCGGCCAAAGACTAAAAACAAATACAAAACGGAGCTAGCTAACGAGGCATTCGTGGAAGTCGTTATAATTCTTGATGTATAAAACCGTAAATGCATATAAATTTGATGGGCCGTTTTTACAGCCTGATTGCAACAACGGATAATATAAGAATTCTTTTTTAAGAAAAGTTACAAAATAAAGGCTGACTCGTGTATTATATCTTCTGATTGTGCCAGCTTATAGTCGGCGATGTGCACAGCAATCTGCATAGCTAACAGCTAAGCACTTAATCATATAATGAAAACCTTCCAGGCAAGCCTCTCGTACCGTCGCGTATTCCGTCAAACAGACAAACGTAATGCGGAATGACAACAAAGCATGTAACATGGCAAAACGACAATCTCGTTCGCAGGCGCATCTCAAGGGAACAACGCCCGCGCGACTTTACGCTTCGCCTGCGAGTGACACACGTATCTCTACGGGCGTTCACGCGCGTTTCCGCGCCCTAATGCATAACCGAGAGCAGCTACTGTTTTCACCTTTAACGAATACAGCTTGTCTAGAATTCACCTACGCTCGACGGTGGGGGTGTCTAGACGCCCAATCTCTGCCCCCGCGTCCCGTTGCACGCGCTCCATTATAACGTTCGTTCCCCGGGCGGAACCTGCACCCGCCCGGGGCATGCGATCAGCGGGCGAGATTCACCTTTTCACCCCCGAGGGTACATAAAATATATGTCTGACAATTAGGTGAGGGCAGTTGAAACAAAAATAATTGGAGATGATCCAGCACCAGACATTTATTTGACATGAGAACAGATCTAGAAAAATAACCTGACATAATCTTGGCATATGTTATAATAAGCGAAGCAAATTTTCTGATTATCAAAAATCACACTTATATTGAAATCTTCAAGGAATACAAGGACAAGTTTTATCACTAAGTTTTAATCCTTAATTGCTTTGTAAGAAAGTTTCATACAAGGAGGGCTTTGTCGATACATCAGAGAAATTAGGCGGTCGGTTTTAGCGCGCGTACGCGTTGTGCAAACGGCGGAGAATGATGGATAGGAAGTGGAAAATGTCTAGTGAAATTGAGCCGGTGTTTGTCTTTCGCCAAGGTTGGAAATTGGTCGGCGAATCACTTCGCTCGGGAATATCGTTGAACTGTGAGCAAAGATGTTCCGGAGAATTTAATGGCGTTCGCTGAGGGGGATTAATGTCGGCGGGGTGAGAATTTTACTTTGGACTTGCGGCAAGTGCTCGCTCTCGTGATGGGCTGCAAACGAGTAGGCGTTGGTAATAGAAATAGACAAATCAAATGTGTTAGGCGAAAACTACACTTAAATATAGAATTACCATTTGTTACGATTTTTAACATAATTAACTCTTCCTATTCGTCTGATTCGTTTCTAAACTGAATAACAATTGGAATTTCCAAACTACGAACTTGTCTGAGCTTCATCTGATTAAAAATAAATCAAATAATAGTTGAAACCGGAAGTGCATTGACCATTCTTCGATAACCCTCTGGCGTGTCTTTTAACCGAAAGAGCTTTGAGGAATCCGTCCAACCTGGAAGATTCCTTCCTTTTACGCGACGCGAAGCTACCGTAAGTTTCGTCTATTAATCGTCCCGCGCTCGGTTCCTTTAATCGCTCACGTCTCATTCAACCGGCCTAAAAACGCGCCTTGCGATGCGACGCTGCTGTGGAAAAGACGCGGAAGCAGTTGAAAAGCGGCCAGGAAATACCCACTCGAGCTGTCGTTCGTTCAAACGACTATCCGATGACGATTTCTTGAATTCCTCCCTCGGAGGAAGTCGAGGAACGCGCGACTGGCCTCGTGCGCCCGGTAATGAGAAAAAGAGACGTCCTCCCGTCGTGTGAATGAATTTTTGTTCTTGACTTTCATAAGCTTTGAACAAAACTCGAGGGGAGATTAATTAATTCGAGCCCAATTACTAAGAATTTTATTTTTAAATAAAACTTTCGTTAAGTATATTTAAAGAAGTATTTCCTTGCTCCAATACTTTGCACGAGAGAAAATATGAACTACGATATAATCAAATTCTTTATGTTTAATTATTCTTAGAAGAGAAATAAAACTGACATGCCAATAAAATTGTTACGTGTTTCTCATTTAAACCTTATTTTTACTCTTTCCTCAAAGCTTGTTAAGATCACATCGCAAAAGTCATTAGTTCCCTTGATTCTGTGATAAGACGAGTCATAGTTATTGCAGATACTCATCTGCGGAAATAACCGTGTCACTTTTCTTTCATACAAAGGTAAAACTGTTCTTTCGTCTCCCGATATCTTTGTTTGCTACGTTGAATACGTTATCATAGGTACAGCCGGTCCGCGTCACGCGGCCGTTTCATCAATCATCAAGGAGCAACTCGATGGCGCAAAAGACGTCAGCCTGTTATTGACATACCCGGACCAGAGTTATGCGCCGCTTGATCGAAAGCTCGACGACGAAATCGACAAGTATGCCGCATATTCCGTAATTCTCGCTCAGGAATATTCGTAACGCGGGAGACGAGGTATGGGCGTGAGAAGAGTACTCGATTTTGTGAGCAATAGAGAAGAGGAACGAGTCAACAATAGCAGAAAATGTGCAATTTCGAAAATAATGCTTAATTCGAGACACTGTGACCACTTATTCCATTCATTTTCTGTATTTTTGTTCATAATTCGACTTTGGAATAAATCTAAAATTGCTTATTTTCTTATTACACAGATTAATACTTATTATTTAAATTAGAATGAAGATACATCTAAGCCACCAAATGCTTTTTTTTTAAATAAGTCTAATTAAGTACTTCGCGCTGACTGCATTATGCAGAAACCACGATAAAAATTGAAGTTTAAGTTATAAGAGTTGGGCTTAGTCGAAAGTTTCAAATGGCCAGATGAAAAGCCGGGGGAACGCTTTTACGTTCCTCGAAGTGCCCCGAATAATTTTTTATTCAATAACCACGTTTTACCGGTCTTTCCTAAGAACTTAGTAGGCGATTATGAATCAACTTAGAACAACTTTTCGTATAATTATGTTTGCCAATATATTCATTTTATACAATGAAATCCGAACAATGAGACACATATTATGCTCGGCCCTACTTTAGTATTCCTTTTCCGTTTTCCAATTGCAATACATAATAAAGTCCCTTTATTTGCATCTCATTCGACAAGAATTACATCGAATCCTTCTTCGGTCAATCTCTGAAACCCGACCGAAACATGAATTTCACATCGAAACTTGGTGTTTTCTCAAAATCACTGATACTCGTACGAAATCTGCAATCGGAATATTGGTGGATGCTCGCAGTGCACGTTTTACACGCTGCTTTCGTAATGGAATACACGACGGGACGGAGGACGTCGACGAGCAGGAAGCAGTGAACTAGTTATCAAGGCAGAGGAACCGGTGAACTTGCCTCGCTCGCGTACGTTCACAGACCCGCGGACCCGACTAGATTGAAACTGTCAAACTTTCCCCGTCAAGTAGCAAGTTTCTTACTGTGGCGTGGCTTCCGCCACCGCGCCACGGCTCAACAGACAGTTTGTGATAATGTGGAAAGTCCTTTGATCGTTTTTTATACTCTTCCATCGACGTAAATAAAGTGAGATTTGTTCGGGGAAATGATGAAAATAAAAATAATAAAAAAATGTGCGTACTTATAAATTCTTCTAATTCGAACTGCAGATACTTAATTTACAAACGCTTTTATTTTAGTTTTCAGTAACCGAGATCATGTTTAATTTCTGAAGGGCCACGCGGTGACTGTAATCAACGAATGCTTCAGTAAAACAGGATACGCGATTAATATTGTTACCTTTATCACGTGAAATCGGACAAGAAGCGAGAGTACACATTTCTCTGGCGTTATCTGTTATCTTGTATCGACGATACTGCCGAGAGAATGTAGCCAACGTCACGATATACCGTCAAGATTTAAGGATTCCGGATTTGGCCGCGACTCTGACCGCATAATGCGAACCATTTTATGGATCGTCGCCCTCTACGATTTATTCCACGCTACTTTCTCTATTCCCTCCTCCGTGGTTTTCTAGCGAATTTCATTTCGCGGAATTCATAAGAGTATCGAGTTTCAAGAATTATATCGCTACAGTTAAGGACGTATTGGCTATACAGTCAATCCCAAAAGTCTATGTACTTTAGAAAAATGCATTTCCTATAATTAAAAAGAAATAAGACGTCGGAAGAACAATGCTAATAATAAATCGCTACGTGCTAGAA